GAATATTTATTTTCTTGAAAGTTTATTTGTATATATCTGAATTTTATTAATAAATTTTTTTTGGTTTTTTATTTACACAATTACAAAATAATATGCTATATTTAAATAAAAAATTACAAAAAATGTTCTTTTGTCTTTCTATTTACATTCTATAAACTTCACTACTTAATCTAATAATAATGATATCGCTAATATGTATATACTGATAAATAGTAATACACATTGCTTGACAATTGTTTTCTCAACAATTTTGGGTGCTAGACAATTGTCAGAGAAATGACATAGGTTTAATAGTGAGTAAATTCTTGTCAAAACAGTCACTGATTACCATATCAAGGTAGATAATTGTCAAAGAAACTACATAGCTTAATAGTAAATAAATTCTTGTCAGGACAATTCCCAACTACTATATCAAGGCAGACAATTGTCAGGGACAGAGACCTAATTGTAAATTCAGAACAATTTCTGATTATCATATCAAGGTTACGAAAAATAAGTTCTAGGCTTATGTGTATAAGCGTAAAATTCACTTTTTAAAAGTTCTGAGTAAGATCAAATAGAAAACAAAGGCAGTTAGCAGAAAATCAGAAATTACTCATCCTCTTAAATACTAACTTGTTACGTTCTAGTTGCAAATTAAAATATTACTATAATCTGTATAATAATATTTTTCATACAATGATTAATATCATCGCATAATCTCAATATTGTGCAATTATGATCATGTTTTAAAAGTCATTATTGTTATTGGCTAACCGAGTTTTAATTCGAGATTGTTGTGCTTATGTAATAACATACAAAAATAACAAGAAAAGTTTGTACAATAAATATAAAATATATTAAGTAAAATTTAAATCTTTCATTTGATTCGACACCTTTATATGAGTGCCATCAAGGGAAAACCCATATTCGGGCTTTTAATTAATTTGTGTCTAAAGATTTGATTGAAGTTATCTCAATGACTACTACTCCAAATTCGATGAAAATTTTTTTATTCGAATTCAATAGATATGCAGAATTCGAATAAAAAATTTTCATCGAATTTGGTGCAGTAGTCGTCAAGATAGCTTCGATAAAATCTTTAGATACAGATATAATTGAAAGCCCGAATTGGGTTTCCCTTGACAATACTCATATAATATTTACCCTATCGATATATAAAAACTTTTTTGATAAATTGATATATAGAAAAATAGAAGATAAATAAAATTTAACGTTGTTATAATATAAAGATACATTTAATAAAATATGTAAAGTTGTTAAAATTAGAAAATATTAAATACTGAAAGAGAAATTGAGAGCACAGTGAAGTGTATTTTTCATAAGCATTAATTAAAGATGCAGATCTTAAAATTTTATTATAAAAAATCTTAATTAGTGATTTTTATTATGCTGCTTACACTATGTTTGTGATAATACTAATAGTTGACACCCCAATGAACCATGTATTATCATAGTTGTTACTGTCTCATAAGCAAGAGGATGTATGTGAATATCAGAAAGTTTAGCAAAAACAATGGAGTTATAATCTTCTATAGTTCGTAATTTGTCATCTGAAGCAAGAATTAATAAAATATGTGTATGAGGAAGACCACGTTTTTTAAATTCCACTACATATACATATGCAATAACTTTACCAAGCCAATGATGATTACATAAATCTTTTAATAGTGCTTGTAATTTTATATGAAATACACAGGCTGTTAAGTCAGGTCTATCTGCAGCATTTTGATGAGGTAATAATTCTCTAGTAACTTCTGGCCATTTAGGATTACATGTAAATGTGACCTGGTTTTCCAAAGTAAGTAATAATTGCTATTGCATCTTGATATAATTGATACATTTGACGTGGTCCACCAGTAAAAGATGATGGAAGGATTATACAATAACCAATAGTATTATTGCAATTTCCAGCATGTACCGCGTTCATAATACCTTGATAAAATTTAGCATGAAGTGATTTTTGATTATGTTTAAAATAAATTAAATGATTTTGTCTATTTTAGTATACTGATCAACAATATATTGTTGATATAAACAGCCAGCATGCTGTATCTAATCACTATTTCTAATTTGTAATCTATAAGCATAAAATTGCATAGTTGTTACTTGTTCTCTTTTTAAAGCATTTATAAGTAGTATATTTGTATGCCACCTATCATCACCTTTAGGGAATAATAATACATAGTGAAATGGATTATATGAAGGATAAACCTCTGCTATTTTTTGCAAATTTCTATCACACATTCTAAGAAGAATATCTCGATTTGTTGGATTTACCTTATGACCATCACCTACCATTATTGCAGCTACATTAGAAGCTGATGGAGTATTATAACAACGAATATCTTGATTTCTATTACTACGAATTATTATTGAAATTTCAGTAGTTGTATTATCATGTATATCAGGAAATTTTTAAATAAGATACATATCGATTAATAGCTGCAAGGTTAATTGGCATCGATTTATATTGATTATAATCGCTTGTAATCATTTAAATTTAAATGATTGCAATTGATTTATATCGATTACAATCAATTGTAATCATTTAAATTTAAATGATTGCAATCGATTATAATTGATATAAATCAATGCCAATTAACCCTGCAGCTAGTAATCGATATACATCTTATTTAAAAATTTCTTGATGTATAATATTTCTTACATAACGAAAATTTTGAATATATGGATTGCAAATATCTAACATATTCTGTAAACTCTGTAAAATATTTTCATTTAATTCTTGCATTATATTATAACAATTTGTAATTTCATTTGCAGTATCATAAATATATATTTGAGCAAATGCTGATGTTTGACCTTTATTTGGTAATAATGATCCAATTAAATGATAAACTTGACCATGAATTCGAAAATTTGATATACCATGTCCCAAAAATTAATTATCTACTTTAGCACCAAAAAATGTGCAAGCTAAAGTACTGTTATAATCTCTAGCATGTTTGTGAAACTCAACTGCATCAGAATTAGTTGAAGTATAAAGATTTAGTAGATAGGGTGGAGGTTCAAGTAAAGGTAGTAATTGCACTTTGCTATTAGTACAACAAAGAAGAAATCTTGGAGCAGCATACCTACTATTTTTATCTTTTTTAATCATCCAAAACTTAGCTTTACAATGTCAACAGGTCTGATTTATTCTACCTATATCATGATATTTGGTTTTATTACGGCGAGAAGCCTGATTACTTAGAGTATTAATAAACTCAAGATTAGTAATTGTAAGAACTTCAGTATTAGGTAAAGGTGAAAGGTTATCAGAATCAGAACCAGAATTAGAATCTATAATAGGAGTTTTACCAGTTTCAACTACAACTATAGGAACTTCAGTATTAAGTAAATTTTGAAGTTCTTCAGAAGTATTAGTAGTTTTTTTTATTCTTATTTCTAAACTGGTTTTGGCACTCACGACTAAGTTGCTTTTAACATTCTTTTGATGATATAGAGCTATTAGAAGATGTTGCCATTATCTAAAAAACAAAAAAATTATATACAAATAAATAGAAATATTAAAAGCTTTAATAGAAATATAAAAGTTAAAAATTTAATATAATAACATATACAATTACTAATTAAATTATTAATTACTTTGCAATAAAATTTTAAACAAAGTTAAAAAGCACAGTTTAAATAGGTGTTGTTAGTCAATTAGATTTTTATAATTCAACTCTTTCCGTCAATCACTTTGCCCAAATTCGGAGCTAAAGAAACTCTGTAAAAAAGTCACTACGGTACTAAATTAACAACTAAATTAGTCTTAGGAAAAAAGATAGAGCAAGGAAATTTAACTACAGTTACTTAGAACAGTTGTGCTCTTTAACAACCAGGGCTCATAATATTTAGAAAAATTTCTAGTATTTTAGGAAATTTGTGTTTACCTTGTTCTGCAGATCGATCATCACAGGAAAAAACAGACGCGTACAAATTAGGCAAACAACAAAC